GCAGAATCTGGGCAATTTTTTTATACCGGATCAAAAGATCATTCCATAATAAAATGTATTTATATTTTTAACTCTATATAATAATTTAAAGTTCATCCGTAATTGAATCTATTCTTATTTATATTACTTAATAGGGTGTACGAAAACTGGTAAAAAGTTACATATATTCCCGGGCGGTCGGAAAGAAGTAAAGAAATTTGATGGTCACACGAACCACGTTTTAGCTTTAGCAGTTAGTTCTGACGAAAATTATATGGTAAATTCGTTTACGACTGCTGTGTCGTTTTCTTTTGATTTAATACTTATATTCATGAACTTAGGTTAGTGGTGGTTCTGACAAAAAGATCAATATATGGTCTGCAAAAGATGATAAATTGTTAAAATGTTTTACGCAACACAAAGATTCAGTATCGGTATGCATTTAAGATATTTTCTTTTATCCGATATATTCCACTCTAAATAATATTTATATTAAATTAAACTACCATTTATAGGGCCTTGTATTTCGTAAAGGGAATAATCAATTATATAGTGCTTCTCAAGATCGTACAATTAAAGTGTGGAATATCGATGAATTATGTTATATAGAAACACTGTAAGTTAGATATTTGATCTTTATATAATAATCCATTAATAAAACTTTTATTTCATGATCTATATATACGTGTTTACAGATTTGGACATCAAGATCAAATCTTATCAATTGATTCTCTTTCGCGTGAACGTTGTGTGACTGTTGGCTCTCGAGATCGCACATGTAGGTTATGGAAAATTGTAGAAGGATCGCAATTAGTATTTCGTGGTAGCACCAAAATTGCAACAGAAGATGGTCAAACATTTAAGGAAGGAAGTTTGGATGTTATTACCATGATTGATGAGGATAATTTCCTTAGTGGTGGTGATAGCGGGTATTATATTTATTGTTATTCTATATGTCCTATATGTTATCTAATTCTTTACTGATGTCATTTGCTTTTTATATTAGTGCCATTTCATTATGGAACATTAATAAAAAAAAACCAGTGTTCGTATATAATATTGCACATGGTTTACAAACTTATGACTCTGAAAGTGAAGGCTCCATTAAAACTCCATATTGGATAACTGCATTAGCTACCGTGAGATATTCTGACTTTTTCGCTTCTGGATCATGGGATGGAAACATTCGCCTTTGGAAATTGATTGATAACATTCATTCTTTCGTTCCGCTGGCGGAAATTCCGTTGGTCGGATTTGTGAACGCTTTACAATTTGTAACCATAGAGAATGAAACTTTTCTTCTAGCAGGTGTTGGTCAAGAACATAAACTGGGTAGATGGAAAAGGATTAAAAATGCCAGAAATGGATGGAGATTAATAGAGCTACCTCTCAAATCTTAAATTAGAAATAGTGGTACGTGTTTTCATTTATTTTTATTAAAAGTAGTGAAGTAGATGATTGAATAGTTCAGTATTATCGTAATATGACTTCTAGTTTAATCTATCACTTAATTGTAATGTGTATCTTGTTCGATTTAAGTATTAATATATCGAGCGCACATTTATTTAAATTTATGTATAAAATATTGCGAATGACTTATCAAAATCGGGCCGATTGTTTCTATGGCCTTGGTTTTAAACCTTTCGCAAAAACCAACCCTTCTTTTGCAGAACGTCAAGTAATCTTTATTTTATTTATGACCTCTGACGTTTTGAAAGGAAGATACAATTCTTCACAAATCAAATTTGAAAATAATTTAACGACTAGTTTTCAATATATTATTATACAGGCAGTGATTGAACGGTGTGTTTTAGAAATCATGTACGACGGCGATCGTAACACTGCAAAAAAAAAAGAGGGTCGCATTATTTCGCGCAATTCCAAACATCCGTTTTTTTTGTTTTGCAAAGAGTATCATTTTCATAAATAAAAAAAAAAAATTTAAAAAGGGGTTAATATGCGAAAGTTTCATTGGCACGGACTTTATTTCAGTTGACATTGACGTGCTGAATTATTTTCTCGTTTTTCCTGCAACACAAATACAAAATATAAAATTTTTTCTTAACTAGGCATCAGGGTTGTAAAATTAATCTTTTGCAGGGGATTACCAAAATTCCGGGTTGGAACTGGGCCGGCATTAAGCAATGTTAGCCAACCATATGGGCTAAACGGATGCATTTTCATTAGTGTGATATTTCCGAATTGCACATCAATTTTTTAAATTGACCAATAAAATTGCTTTTTATAAAAAGAATAAATATAAACCAAACATCCTAATTTAGGAACTACCCCAGTGGCACCGACAGATTTTCACTGATCGACAATTTTTTTAAAGTAAAAAAACGCTACATTAGGGTTAGGTTTACAATTATAACGAGGGTTAATTTATACTAAAATTTTGCAAGGAATTTTTTTTACTAATGCGCAGAAAGTGGTTACATAGACGAAATTTTGAGTTATAGCGGTTTTTTTAAAAAACGTAATTTTTTTTGATTTCACGTTACACCTGATCTTGTAATCTAATTAATCTAATTGGTCAATC